AATGTCCTTGCAAGCCAAGGATAGGATGTGTCTGGATGGGTGAAAAACCATGTGGGTAAAAAAATGATTTGCTGGTCAAGCTCACACTGTAGTGGTTAATGGGCTGTACTTTACCTGCATGTCTGTCACAAGTGGAGTATCACAGAGAGCTATCCTGGGGTGTGTCCCGTTTAACATCTTTATCAGTGACCTGAAGGATGTCATGGAGTGCACCTGTATCAAATTTGCAGATGACACCAAATTGGGAGGGCCGGGCAGGGCTGTCATTAGAGGGATGGATGCAGGCTGGAAGAATGGGCTGACAGAGACTATGAAATTCAGGAAGAACCAGTGCAAAGCATCCAACCTGGGAAGGAAGAGCCCCTTGCAGTGATACAGGCTGGGAGTGCCTGGCTGGGGAGCAGCTCTGTGGGCAAAGCCCTTGGGGGCCCTGATGGGCAGCAAGCTGAACGTGAGCCTGTAGTGGCCCTAACAACCAGGGCCGACAGTATTCTGGGCTGTGTCAGCAGGAGAACAGATCTAGGGAAGGGATTACTCCCCTCTACTCAGCCCTTGTTATTCTACATCTAGGCTACTGCTGCCCATTTGGGGCCCCCAGTAAAAAGATGCTGATAAACTGAAGTGTGTTCAATGGAGGGCCACCAAGTTGGCTGGGGTTGGAGCATCTGTGCTATGAAGTGGGTTAAGGCAGCTGGGCTTGTTCAGCCTGGGAAAGAGATGGTTTCAGAGGGACCCAGCAGCAGCCTCTAGTGCCTATGGGGAAGGTATCAAGGGGACAGAGCCAGGCTCTGGGTGGTGGGAAGACTAAAGACACTGAGCATAAAATCAAACAACAGAGGTTCAGACTGTATATAAGGAAAAACCTTTTCACCATGAAGACAGTCAAGCAGAACAGTCGGTTATCCAGAGAAGTTGTGCAGTCACTGTCCTTGAAGGTTTTCAATACCTGACTGAAAATTGAACCAGCAACAGACAACTTGGTTTGACCCCACAGCTAACCTTGCTTCGAGCAGGGGGTTGGACTGGAGACCTCTTGAGGTCGCCTCAAACCCGAATCTCCTATGATCATGTGAACATCAGCTGAATGGTGCGCCACAATAAACTATAAAATGTTACTCTGTATCAGCTAGTAATGCATAGATAACTGAAAGAAAAAAATTAAAGAATATTACAGGATTAAAATACGGTACAATTTCATTTCCACTATTACCAACATATACAAGCAATAACTACCTCAAAAAAATCAGCAAATCACAAATAGATTATAAAAAGATTCCAAATTAAGTTTACAAAAATATCCTGAGACAGTTCATTTCAAAATCCCACCCACTGCAGTCATTAGTAGGCATGTAATATTCTTCAGTGAATAGAACAGTCAGTGGAGCAGCACTAGAATAAAAATTTATTTTCCTTGTCTCATAAATTTTCCACTCTCATAAAAAGAGACACTCTACCATAAAATTCTTTTTAAAACAGATGGAGACAGGTACAAAACATAGTCACCTGGGAAGCTAAGAATGCGGAAAAGTAACAAATTGCAGAATCATAAACCGCTATTAGGCTACTAATTAATAAGCACTGCTAATTCAACCATATAAATATATAATTCAACCATATGTGTGTGTGTATATATATAAAAGCCATAACCATTTGCATTTGCAGAACATTAGCATTTTGCCAAATTCTAAAATACATATATTTACAAAAAGAAAATCAGAAAGACGAAAGAAATATCCTGGAACTGTTAATTCTAAAACTGTAAGGGTAACTCAGGTGAAACATTCCAGGGAGCAATGACAGGTCAGACCAAATTTTCTTTAGTGTCTCCTATTCGTTAGGTCTACGATGCATTATGTTCAGCACATGGGACTTTGACATTATTCTTTTGAGACATCTAATAGTCTCCACTCAGCAAAGACCACAGGTACTTCCTCTGGATTTTGCCACTAAAGATGCTCCAGGGTACCAGAGGCATCTACATGGAAAGAGAAAATGTGACACAGACTTACAGAAGATCTGCAGTCCTTTGGGGTAACAGCTGGAGACCCAGCCCAAAAACATTAGGGTACTTTGTAAGTGTTTCATAGCTTAGACATCCTAGCCACATGGAGGCATCTAAATGCACATGTCTACCCTTGTGCCTCTTCATCTTGAGGCAAGTCCCATCTTGGTGCAAAATCTCTTCAAGAAACACAAGACAACAATCTGTCTAATAACTATTCTGGTTGCAGAGGTTATTGCTCCCACCAAAGCTGAGATATGCTCACTAACGTGGTTCAACTGCAGTATTTAATTTTACACTGAAACAGATAAGGAGAGCCCAGGTGACCAGTTAATAGCACTTTTGCAGAGAAGCTAGTGTGTGTCTAAATTGCTACAATGGCATTACAAGGGGAACCCTCACTCTGCCCCAGCGCTCTCAAAGCTGCATAACAAACTCTTTCAAATCTTTGTCAGAGTGTATGTGCCGTGTAGTTATTCCATCTCTGGACACAAAACCCTCTCTCTCTGTATGCTGTGAAAAAGATTTCAAAAATCATGTCTCAAGTCAGCAGTTACTTCAAAACTTATCAAGGATGCATAGGTTTCACAAAATATCCATTGCTCTTCCACTGGCCTAGAGAGCTTGCTGGTGAGAAAACGCTACAATGTGCAAAGAAGAAAATGGGTGTCTCTTTGTGCCTGAGTTGCTTTACTAATAACAAAAATATTTTTTGCCAATAGATCAGCAAATATGCAGTGGTGTGCAATCTAGTGTTGAAACTGTTTTTTAGAACAGGAATCTTGAAACAATACACATTTTGCTACTATACAAATTCCAGTATCCTCCTGTGTTTGTGTCTTTTCTTTACAAAATACTTTTGAATAAAGCTTTTTTTAAAAAAATGAAAATTATTATATCAATTAGATAACAGTTTCTTTTGTTTATTCCTCTCCTTGCCTTTTTTTTTTTTTTTTTTTTTTTTTAGTTATTCCATCTCTGGACACAAAACCCTCTCTCTCTGTATGCTGTGAAAAAGATTTCAAAAATCATGTCTCAAGTCAGCAGTTACTTCAAAACTTATCAAGGATGCATAGGTTTCACAAAATATCCATTGCTCTTCCACTGGCCTAGAGAGCTTGCTGGTGAGAAAACGCTACAATGTGCAAAGAAGAAAATGGGTGTCTCTTTGTGCCTGAGTTGCTTTACTAATAACAAAAATATTTTTTGCCAATAGATCAGCAAATATGCAGTGGTGTGCAATCTAGTGTTGAAACTGTTTTTTAGAACAGGAATCTTGAAACAATACACATTTTGCTACTATACAAATTCCAGTATCCTCCTGTGTTTGTGTCTTTTCTTTACAAAATACTTTTGAATAAAGCTTTTTTTAAAAAAATGAAAATTATTATATCAATTAGATAACAGTTTCTTTTGTTTATTCCTCTCCTTGCCTTTTTTTTTTTTTTTTTTTTGCTTTCAGCGCTGTGGAGGAAGGTGGAAGAACTGATCCTCTACTTTAATCAATCAATCAAACAAACAAACAAACAAACAGGTGAAACAGTAACAAAAAGGGCACAGTAGTTCCTGAGCAGCTACCAAGCTTACATACTTATTTATTTTCTTTAATTTGGCTAAACTTATCTGATTTTCTAATGTGAATATTCAGGGACACTTGTTTTGCAAATCGAATATTTCTGTTGAAAGAAAATTTGCTAAAAGAAAGCATTAAACAAATGTTACCATATGACATACCAAATATGAAGTTTAAGAAACAGAACGGTGGCCAGTGTCTAAACAAGTATAAGAATCTCTTTGGGGAGCCAATTCAACACCAAAAAGTAACTTGTTTTATAAATATTAATATATTTTACATATATAGAAAACAAAGGTTTATTATCTGAAATAAATGCATTTAAATTAACAAGACGAATTATTTACGGTACTAAAAAAGTGGTGTTTCAGAGAATTTTTCTGACATAAAAATGGATCTGACGAAACAAGTGCAAGGGACTTAATACTAAAAATGTTTTTTATTTGTGGTGAATATGCACTACTAGGAGACATAACAAAACTAAAATGTTGTTTATCTATTAGAAAAAAATGACATTCATCGTAATAGTTACCCTCTAAATTTATCAAAGATTCTGGATCAGTTAACATATTGTTGAACTCATATTTTAAAGGCCTTTTATGTTTAGATGATTTCTGTTAAAATATGTTACTTTAATTATTCCTATGAATATAATTCCATCACACAGAAATAAAAATTTTAAAATCAGATAATTCATAAGGGGATTTTATCAATATTCATTAATTTTGAACAGAAAGGTTTAAAGTAATCATTAAAGCAGTTAAATTTATTCAGATTAAATCTTTGAAATTGTTAGTCAACTCAGAGTAAATTAGGCCTACTGTGCCTACAAATGTGCATACACAAGTAAAGCCAAGCAGTATACAATGAATGTAAGAAAGTTGTAAAACTAAGCACCAGATTTTATTTTGTGCAGGTAATGATTCTTTTGATTAAATCAGAAACTAAGTCTGTCCTATAAGAATTTGCAGTGATAAGTTACCAAGTTTAAAAATAAACATTTTTATTTCTGCCAACCAGCCATTGTCTCTAAAGCACACAGAAGCTATACAACTCTTAAAAGACAGGCATTAGTTTCCTAACTTGGAAGCTCTACAGACACGTTATGTCTTGACTTTAAAATTCATAGCACTTATTTTAAACATCACCTGAAACAGCTTTCTGTGTTGCCATTTTCACTGTGTATGCAAACACTAACATATTGTTTTCTGTTATGAGAAACAGCATTTATTCAAAACGGCACACGGATTATTACATTTTTCCTATCTTTAAAATTGGAAATAAATTGCATTATCTCTGAAACTGCTGCACAGCACAGTAGTTTAAAGTAAATGTTTTCCAATAATGACAATTTTCCTGTCTGGCTCAAAAATTTTCCAATGCAATCCCCCAGCAAATGCACTGTTAAAAAGTAGGCTGCTTGTTTTAATCAATTTGTATTTGAGCTGAGTTCAAAAGAACACTCACTCTCCATAAATATAAAGAAAATAAAGGGAATTCATCTGAGAGGTGAAGAATAATTTGATCAAGGTTCTTCAGAAACTTGTGTTTTTCTTCTCCATCATAGTCTGAGCTTGAAATGCTACTTTCTTCTGTCTCATTTTGAAGAAGTTGTTCCAGAATCATGCACAAAGGAAAAATATTCTCATACTGGGTAATGTCATACATGGCCTGGATCTGGGAATAAAGAAAAATCGTTACATAAGCACAATGTGAAAATGCTTCTGCAGCCCACCATCTCAGATGACAGTTTAAGCAATAATGTTAAAATCTGCAGTAGTATTTATATAATCAGAATGGCTATACACTCAGTATGATTACTTCTAAGAAACGTTTTCCTTTTTCTGACAACAGCCAAACAACTAACTCTCCATCATACTACCAAATGAAAAGTCAACATAACCTCCTGTTCATGAGTCAAAGAGGGTTTTCTCTACCTAATTATCCATAGGCTGTGACATACAACAATGATCGACAGATAAACAAGAACAACAAAAGCTTTGTTTGTTTTAGGCATATAATTAGAATTGGTGGATTTCTGTTTTCTGAGACATAAAATAACAAGTAAAAAAAGAATTTTTTTACTCTCAAATATAGACAATCATCTATTCAAGTGACACCTCTAGAAACAGAAAGTCCAAATTCTCAATCTCAGTAGAAAATACACAATCCAGTACTACGTATCTGAGTCAGTTACAAAGTGGGAGAATCAGTTTGTGAAATAAGCTCACTAACCAAACTACGAATTCATTAAAAGCCTTACAGATTTATCGAATATAAATTTACCTGTCCTGTGTTTGGAAACTGCCATTTCAAACTGAAGCTTTAAGAATCTCTGCCGTACATAGGGAATAACAGGTAAGACAAAAACTTAAACCCTGGGGAGTTGTCTCTCTGGAATGAAATTCTGTGCCCTCCTTAACAGCAAAATCTACCAATAATATGACATTACCTTGTTCTGAAAAAGGCTGCAATTACAGTAGCTAGATGATCAGAACTGAAATGTGAAATCATAGCTGCTAGAAAATTAATTATATATTTCAGAAAATAGACCATTAGCTCTAGAGAGCCTAAACAACTGTTTAGGCCTGTGGTACAAAGCCAGATGGGTCTAGGCTTCGACATGGGTCTATGAATCAGTACCAAATCATTTTACTCACCCTAAACCACACACTGCTAGACTTTCCAAACTGTGAAATTCATTACATAATAGTTGTTTTTACAGACAATGCAAGTCATTTTTGATTCCACTAGAATCTAACAAAAAGACAGCACTTTATCTTCCTCAGGTAAGGCTGCTATCATCTACCTCTGCAGCAGATGGTGGCTCAGGGATTGCTCACTTTGTTTTTCTGAGCTCGTAGTTCTTAAACATAAAACCTGTATTTGAAGCTCCCTAGTGTAATGTCTTTCAGGTAACCTCCCACCTCAGGGATAACACTAAGACACCATAGCCATCCCATTGCAAAGCCTCAGCGTAGCAAAGACATTTTGCTGAGTTTTCGAGACATCTTGAAAATTAGGTTAATTGCTGAAAAATATTATCCCTAGCCTTGTATGCTCCAGTTCTGTCTCTCTGGAACCTGGTAAGGAAAATCTGCACTTCAAAGCTGCTGCCAAGAATTTGATATTGATATTCTTATCACAACAGACAGCAAAAAATATAAAAGGACAATATTAAGCATTTGCTTACTTTTAAAGTCCAATTAAATCAAATTGTATAATTAGGGAAAACCTCCTTCTAAGAAAGAGGTAACAAGACAGTCTGTTTCTTCAAATACCAAGCATCTGACTGTAGGACAACCATGCCTATACACTGATTGTTTTGACTATTAACTAATACTGGTGAGATAAATTTATTTATTTTGCTTATTTGAATAAATTACAGCTTTCTAAGTTGAGAAAATAACTGCTATTAATGATTTCCTGAATTTCTAGGGACTAGATGATGCTAAAGGCCTATAAAGTCTGTTCTTAAGACTTTCAGTGTGGGAGTCAGCTGACCAAAACCAGGCATCAACAAGCTGAGATAGTTATCCTTGGTTCCTGTTTTAGTCAACAGAGGGAAGCAGGGGGTGGGACTCAGTTGCTTGAATGTAGTGTCTATTGCCATTTTGGATGTCCAAGGGTATCCAAGGCATGTGCATGAGTAGAGCTTTGCATACGAGTCAGCAGCTGTAAGCCAGGAGGAGTACCTTAGGGCATCCAGTGCGGTATTAGATGTCTGAGTTCTGGCAACTGAGTCTTTCAGGATGTAGTTCTTCCCATTCTAAACTAGATCCTCAGACGTAGCATGTCCTGAAATTCTTTACAGTGATAAAGTATGATTATGCCCAGAAAAATGACTACGTAGAAACATAAATTGGAATTCTATGCTTTTAGTTCCTGTAATTTGGATATTAGAAGTACAATGTTACAAGCAAAAACCTTTGTTTGATTCTTAAATGTTGGCCTTGTAAATTCACTCAGATCTTCCTTCGCATGAGGAATCAATAGAAAATATTTTAGAAAGGCAAATTATGTCACTTCACTTATCCCCATAACCTCAAGGTCTTCCAAGCAGTTAAGCAATTTTGTTACTTCGAGTGGGTCTTGAAAAGTGCAACTAATTGCAACTTGGTAAACTATCTAATTGATTATGGATAATAGAAACCACAAGCTAACTAATCCTCTTTCCTCTGCAAATACTACTGCACTAAAGGAAAATTATTTTAGCCACACAGACCTGACTTTGAACAGAAAGGGTAAGTCTGATGTAAGGAGGAAGTATTTTTTTGAGGTAATTGCTTTTCAGGGGACACATGCACCTTGAAATACTGTTTTATAAAACCAGGAAAAAAAAATCAGTCTAGAACATTGTCTGGCTTAAGGCCTATTAACCTTTCCAACCCATTTAATAATCTAAACAAAACATGTCTCCATTTCTTTTGTTAGATGTCTTTTGTAGCACTAATTGATGCAATTACTACCAATGCAAATTTATGCCACAGAATTTGTAGAGGAACACCTTTACTGTTACCTAATGTCAGACAGATATGTCAGGTGCAGCCAGATAACAGACCTATTCATCTTGCTCATCAATGTGTGTAAGCGTGTAGTGGCGTATGTACGTGTACACACACATACGCACAGCTAGTCCGTCCAGAAAGTTCAGAAGGTATGTGTGTAAAACAAACCTTATATATAGACTACAATTCCAGAATATATTAATACCAACTTTAAATAACTCTAACTCTGTTTTTCAGAAAGAATTTTCAGATAATCACTCTTTTCTATAGATCAGATGGGTGTGCAATATGGGTTTTGGACACAATTTTCTTGTGAGATCAGTCCTTGCCAATTTTTCCTCACCAGGTATTTGGAAATGTGTTTATTAGCAGTAAAATGCATTTTGCATGCACCTCAGTTTTGAATTTATCCTTTGAAATTATTTTCTTATTATGATTTCTCAATCCAAACAAACTTTTCAAAGTTAAATATTTTTTAAAAAATTATTAACTATGTAAGATTGAGCTTTACATAAGACGGAAACAAGGGGTACAAGGATCTCCTGGGTGGATTTGATGATCTGCTAATCAGAATTCATATATTTACATCAACAATTTCAGAATGCAGGAAGTGCCAAAGCTTTTGGCTGAAATTAATTCTCCAAGCTTCTCCTACACTACAGGGTGACCACCTGGAATAGCACACATATTTACTACATAATCTGAAAGCAGGGAAGAAGACCTCTAACCTGTCTTCTTTACAAAGCTATCATAAAAACCAGTACTAATACGTTAAAGGAAACCACTCAAAAATGTAAGCAGCAATAACAGTCAGAATGCTACAAACCCATCTGTGTTCCAGGTCCCTGGGCCTTTATTATACTTCCTCTTTACAAAGTAACAGATCAGATGGCCCTGGGTCAAATTCCAAGCCACTACTCTCTTATTGGACAGATTTGGAGTTGGGGTCTTCAGTAAAATTTTGGACAAAGAGTAGGGATCTGAAAAAGCACGGAATTAATTGAAGTAACCTTCACAGAATGGTGGATGTAATTTCTGAAGGTTATTCAACCAGATTCAGAAAAAATCCCAAGTGATATTCTACGTGCAATTTTTGCACTTACTTAGAATATTTTTGCTTTCATGTCTTAGTGGTTCATGCACATTTATATAATTTATTCAAATGCTCTCAATAACAGCAATATAAAACAAGAACAGGAGAATAAATATTAGCTTTGAAGAAATCCTCTACAATTCTTCAGCTGTAACTCAGTTGAGGCTGGGATTTTCACATGCAGAAGACTGATGCTATGTTCTGCATCAGTCACCTTCTGATGATACCTGCTATATAGGCAAATAACTTTTAGTCCTTTTATGTCTCAAAGGACCTACAGAATGGAGACAATACTTTACCAGTGCAAACATGAATTAGATGAAAAGAAAGAGATGTTCATGGCAACTAGCATTTGTTTCCATGCAACTCAGATACTTATAGAGGCTATGGACAAAGCATCACCAACACTTGTATGCTTTCTGGAATAAGCCAGAAATGGCTCTAACTTGGAAAAACTTCGTTTTGGTTTACAATGGAATGTTGAAATGCTGTAATTTCTGACAAAAGTAAAACAATTAGAATTAATCTAGAAGCACCATTATATTTGATTAATGACCAAAAGCTTTCCTCCTTTTCTATCCCTATAATTTAGTTAACACCTCTTTAGGCTTTTTTAGTCCTATGAAGATACCAAGTTTAAATGTATATTGCAACAAATAATTATACACAACATAACGCTATATAAAATACTGACATACTGATACATATTTGAATCAAACTGGAAAGATGAGTGTTTATACACCTCTGCTGTTTAGGAAGTGATAAAACTGACACTTCTAGAAGATGGCTATTTTAGCAGAAAAGTGTTCCACCCAAATCTCCTCAATCCATCATATTCTAACAGTTTTGCTTCTTGTAAATTTTTTCTTGCAACTTCTGCCACTTCCATTTCTTGGCAAACTTTTACTATTCGGCAGGGATATAACTTTTATGCTAGCAAGGTGTCTTTTCTATATCCCAAGAAATTCTATTTCAAATTTCACTGAAATATCAAGTGTTGGTATTTCTCTTCTTTTACATGCATATTTTTCAGAGAAGCATAAAGGGAAGACTGAAATAAACAACAGGAACTTCTA